GCTCAGGTGTCATCCTGAACCCTTGACCTATATTCCAAAATTACGAGGTGCGTCACCAAAAGCTTTTGTGTTGCTTCTTGGTGTGACGTTAATAAACAATCATAAAGTCATATTGAACTCGAATGATTTCGAAAAAAAAAATCCCAACCAACAAATAGCTCAATTGAATTTAGTCTTTTTATATTAACTGTGAAATGAAATCAACGTTTAATTGTTTGTAATAGAAGAATAAAAATCTGTTTATAATAGCTGAAATTAGATCTTACCGAAATAAGATTTTATTTATTGATTATTAACGTCTCCCTTAAAATCATCACGAGGGATATTGACAATGGTTTTCGTCATTCTTAATCCGTCAAGTGACGAGGACGGCACCAGAATCCCATCACCTCCCTCTACTAACTTTCATACCTCACAACTGAGAAAATTTAACGTGCATCTATAAGATAAGATATAACGTGCATCCACCTTCTACCTCTCGAAGTGGTATCAAGACTCGAATCCACGACTCAACGAAATAACTCCGACCCCGATATCGCGACCATGATAGCAGAGCTATCATAGCCACAGCCTAATAAGAAACATTTATCTTCCAAAAAAAATTATTTGCAATCCAGTAAATATTTCATTTGTATTTAGAGTATTTTAAATTATCTGCATTAAATCCTAATTTCTTTAAAGTCTCTGAGCTTAAAGAAAAACGCTCCTAAAATAGAAATGCCAGAAACACTAATTTTTTTACCCCTCCCTCACTCTTTTTTTTTTTCTTTTAGCCCACCCCCTTACCGACCTTTTTTTCCCTCTCTCTGTCTCTCTTTCACTATAACCACCAGCAGTCTTGATTTTCTGATGTCATTATAGCCTCAATTTACTGTACCCTCGGGTGTTACCTTTAACCGTAACTGAGGCTCCCCTCTATTGTAAAAAGCCATGCCCCATTACAATCCTAGCATAAGATGTTATACCCTTTTTTTTATCTTTCTAAGGGAGTAGACGTTCTTTATTTCTATGGTTCTCAAGAGCTTTTTTTTCCAACAAAAAAAGAAAAACTCATCGATTGTGTCAAAAAAGAAGAGAAAATTTAACGGTTGAGAGTAAAAAAAGCTCTTAACTTCTCGCTTGGGATTTTGGACTCTTTTTCCAACCTCTTGTTGTGATAGACGACTGAATGAAATTTGAGGGGGGTGTTAGGAATGAAGGGGTGGGACAATTAAATGACGTCACAAAGATTTTGTCGCTGTTATGTCAATTTTATATCTAGGGAGTATTAAATCATGGTGATGTCGTCTTTTCTTCTGGAAATATACTACCCCAAGTGCTTTCACAAGTTCAAAAGAGTTTAAAAGCATTTTTTATACAACGTTTGGGGACTTTCAAAATGCTCAGTGTATTTCAGAAAACTCATGTTAGTCAACAAATCTGAGAAAAGAATTGTTTATCTTTTAAGAAAGCAATGGAATCTATTGGGTGAAATTTGCTTTATATTTAAGAAGTATACAGATTTTCTTCCTATGAATTCGTTTTTATTTAATTATCAAATCTTGATATTCCCTATGCGATTGTTTTATTAACGTCTCACTCAGAAGCAACTCGAAAGACTATTGGCGACTGACCTTGTACTTTTGTACTTTGGTCAAGTGGTCAGGACGACACCTTAGTGCTCCTAACTTTCTAAATACCCCACCTCGCCAGTGGCCGCAGTAGCTTAGTTGTCATGGTAGTGGACTCGCGGACGGCGGTTTTCGTTGAGTCGTAGATTCCAGCCTTGATGCTACTAAAAACCCGCCGTGTAGCCGGGGCTGATGTGAGTTAAAACTGTCGTGGCTCAAAGTGCTCCCATTGGCATGGTGTGGAAGTTAGGAGAGGGAGTGCCAGCTCAGGTGTCATCAACATTTCAGTGAGGCTCAAAATTACGAGGTTCGTCGCCAATAGCCCTTGTGTTGCTCCTCGTGCCTAACCAACCAACTAATCCAACCCACGCCAACAGGTGGAGTTTGAATCTCGTTCATATTCAACATATAGTAGCTCCGCTACACGGGTCTTTAGTGACAACAGAGCTCGAACCCCAGACTCGACGAAAACAACGCCGGCCACGAGTTAGAGACCTTGACCATTAAGCTACCGCGGCCTAGATATGTGGGGTGGGGGAGATAAATATAAATCGGAAAAAATAAAGTTTTATATTTGCAACTAAACCAAAGAATAGCTAAATGCCATGATATATTTTAAAAGGATAAAAGTTTGTCCACCGATATCTTTTTCCCGTCAATTTTGTTATGTTCGTTACCTTAAGTTCTAATTGAAAATTTAAGGAAAATTTTAAGATGTTAAGCGATTTCTTCGAGAATAGTTAATTGTTAAGTTTTTCCTTCAACTCGATGTTTTCTTACGATTATCAACACCACTGGTTTTCAAGTTTAAGATTTTATGTATAAATTCAGTTAAAATGTTTCAAAATTTTCAATGATCTGTTGAGATACTCACTCAAGATGGACTTAATCTTAATTCCCTTCTAATAACAGTTCTTAATAACAGTTCTTTTCCCTTAATAATAATTAACATTCCGTCACTCCGTATTGTGACAGTTTTGAGATAGAAAAACAACTTAATAAATGGGGAATTATTAGTTAAATTAATAAATTTGTGAGCTAAAAATTATCTCAAGACCATATTTCAACTACACGAAGTTAAACCTGTGTCAGCTTCAATAGTGGTTGATTATATTTTCGCCTATCGGAGAGTAATCCAACACTCCTACCTCTTTCACGACCATGTCAAAGATCGCTGTTAGATACTATGCTACAAAATAAATTCCACTTCGGTCTTTTACGTATTTGCGTAAGCGATGTCGGTAAATTCACGAGAGCTTGATGGAAGTAGACTCAATTATAAATAATGTATCAATAATTGATTTGTCTATATCATTACTCAATCGATTGATTTTTTTTTTCAACATTGCATTAAGAAACTGCAAAAGGGTTATTGGCGAGGGACTCGTCACTTTGAGACTCTGTGAGGTGATGAAGATGATACCCGAGGTGATACTGCAATCTGCAAACTTCCACACAACGCCAGTGAAAGGACTTGGAGCCTCAACATATTAAACATGCATCAACCCACTGCAAGAAGGTTTTTTAATGGAATCAGGAATCGAACTCACGATTCAATGACAACAACGCCATCCTTGAGTTCATGACCGTGACTACTAGATTACTGTGACCACCGTATTGGATGTAACATACGAAATAGAAGAGCAAATCTTACACTAATCTCTCAAATTCTTATACTCTTGGACTGAAATAAATATAACTTAAGATATTTATTGAGTTATGCGCAAAAATTTCCAAGTATACCGAATATTTTCAACAATAAATAACATGATATTTCATGGGCAATTTTGGTTCTCGAATGAGAGTGAAGTTTTATTGGCGCAAGAGCCAGATGTAGCCATACTGCGCCAAACAATGTAAATCTGTGATCTAGACGTTAAAACAATGAAAAAAAGATTGGTTTACAAGAAGGGTAAAGTCTATAGAAGAAAAGTGAAGTGAGAGTGAGAAAATAAAGTTGATTGGCGCAAGAGTCAGATATGGCTACGCTTCTCCAAACAAGATTTAACCGTGGTCTAGACGAGAAGAAATTGAAGAAAAAGACCCAAATGGGTTGATAAGAAGGAGAGTCGAAATTAGAGAAGGATCGCTAGGGTAAGCCAGGGGCGAGTCACCCGTGTTTACCAAAGACAGTAAACCCCATTGGAAAGAAAAAGATCACTAGGGTGTGCTCGGGGTCATGATGCTTTGCTTCTCGAAATTCGTAAATGCCATTTAACCTACGAATTATAAAAGCAACAGCACCGCAATGCCTTTGCGGGCGAAGTCCGTTTATTCCGAAAGACAAGCTCTCTTGTTTGAGGCCGAACTCGCACTGAGCATGTTTAAGGAGTGTATGGAAGATACTAGGGAGAATGAAATGCTCTGGTTGTTCGAACGTTCATGAAATGGGAATAGAAATTTAAAAGATTTATAGTATAAAAAATAATTTCAGAAAACTATTGATTCTTTCCACCATAAAAATTAATTCTAAATTTATGTGGGTTTTAAGATTGTGAAAAAGCAGGATTCCTTGAAAAGGACGCGAGCAAATAAAGTTATTGAAGTGAGGGATTCTTTGGAGTGCGATTGTTTGTTAACTGAGAAGCAACTCGCGGGCTGTTGCCTACGGACTTCGTAATTTTGAGGACACCTGAGATGGTATCCCCCTCTCTAAACTTCCTTATCACGCTGACAGAAGGACTTGGGCCATACTTAACATCCACGGCTCCATTACAAGGTAGCTTAGTGGTTAAGGCACCGGACTTGCGTCCGGTGGTTTTCGTCGAGTTATGGGCTCGAGCGTTGATGCCACTAAAGATCCACCGTGTACACAGGGTTGATGCACGTTAAATCTGTTGGAACCCAAAGTCATCCCGTTAGCGTGATGTAGAAGTTAGGAGAACGGGGTGCTAGCTCAGATGTCGTCTTCGTCACTTGACCGTGATTCAAAATTACAAGGTCCGTCGCCAATAGCCTTCGTGTTGCTTCTAGTGCGATGTTTATAAAACCAACCAAAACCAAATCCACTCCATGACAGCTCTTTAGTGACGTCTGACGTCAACCTATAACTCGACGAAAACAACGCCAGCCACGAATCCACGATTATGACCGCTAGGCTATCGTGGCCAGTGACTCGCGGGATAGAAGTTAAAGAGGTTGAAATTTTAACAAAGTTAATTCATACTTTAATAAATATATTCGAGCTATGAAGAAAATATTTCTGAGCGAAACGAAGAATTTTGATTTAATTAAGAGTTTTAATCATAAATGAGAAAAATGACCTGCGTTCCCAATCGGTCACCCTCTCAAATGACTAAATATTTAAAGCTAATATAATTTAAAAGTTATCAGATCATATCAATTTTACTCAAGAGATAAATATTTGCCTTTAACCTCAGTCAATGCTTCCACCCCTGCTGGATTCGGACTCCAGATACTTGGATAAGAAGACCAACGCGCTATCCACTGCGCCACAGGAACGAATTATTAATGGAATATATAAGAGACATTTCAAATAAGTTTCAAAATCTAACTATGCCAACCGCCATTTTGTATAAACATATTCCAACCTACAGAGGTCAGTAACTGCATTTCAAATAAATTTTATATTCTTTTCCAATTGATTATAGACGATACAAATTTTAACATGGGGAATGAAACACAAAAGAATTGTCACCTTATAATTAGAAAACTTTTGAGGAAGATTTTAGACGCATGTAATTTTTTAAAAAAAAGACTAAAAATTGAAAAATTATGCTTTATTAAGTACCGTTATCGCTATTCAAATTAAAATAAAATTTATTCATCACCATCCTTTTTACAGATGGTGTGACCTCCCGGGCACATTTTCCACATTTTTGTTTCTTTATGAACAACATAATTTTGTGGCTGTTGATTGGTTGGTTTTATGGCATATAGAGCAACAAAGGCTATTAACCCCATTTTGTAGTTTCATTTATTTATTTATTTGGTTTTTTACCGCAATATTCAATTTGATGTGTCTACCGTCTTGCATAAATTGTAGTGAAGTCTGTTGAAATTCTCTCCGGACTTTTTGTTTCTTGTTCTTGTAAATATTGAGAGTTGGCAGTAGGTTCTTTTTGCCAATTGAATTAAAAATTCTTGTTCCTATATCCTTCCGGTTGTTTTATTGTAGAAAATGCATGCATTTATCGTTGCAAAGTAAAGAATATTTGAAAATTCTTCGGCAGGCTATCTACGAAGACCATTTTGGATTTTGTGCTGTATTTTTTAGCCATTTGATCCGTCATATTTACTTTACATATAGTGTTATTATAAAAAGAAATATAGAGCTTCATGTATACATTAACTTTTTTCTCAATAGTTAAAAAAAATTTCTATGCTTCAAACTTAGTAAGAGAACTCTTTGTTTCTATTTGCTTTTATAAATTGCCAGAGCACAATTATTTGATTTGTAAAGATCTGGTTTAAAAACATTTTTACATACATTGTTTTTTACAAAATAATAAGTGTTTCGCGCAATTTGGCTGAATATGGATACAATAAACCTGAATCCTGCCAAAGACCTGTCTTGTGGAGTGAGTGAGTGAATACAAAGTTTATTGGCGCAAAAGCCAGATATGGCTATGTTGCGCCAAACAAGATTTAACTGTGGTCTAGACGTGAAGAAGTTGAAGAAAAGACAAAAATTGGTTGACCAGAAGAAGGTCGAAAATAGGTCACTAGGGCAACCCGTGGGGCGCGCCACCCATGTTTATCAAAGACAGTAATCCCCTTGGGAAAGAAAAAGAGCACTAGGGTGCCTCGAGGTCATAAAGCCCGAACTTGCCTTCAGAAGACAAGTTCCTGAGGTCCCCTGATATAATCCCCAAGGCAGGGTCCCCGGCTATCCTCCAGACGCTGGTTACCCATTTTAGTGGCCTCTTACGATATGCATGAGCTACAGTGGGACTATTCAGTCTTTCCCGGTCACCACACGGGTTATCTATCTTGGAACGTATCCTTACGGGTGGAATAGAGCCAGATATTGCATGCTAAATTAAAGCTTCCTTTTATTTAGTTTAGTTTAGTTTATATTAACGTCTCACTAGAAGCAACACAAGGGCTATTGGCGACGGACCTCGTAATTTTGAACCACGGTCAAGTGACGAGGACAACACCTGAGCTGGCACCCCCCTCTCCTAACATCCACACCAACGGGAGGACTTTGGGCCCCAACAGATTTAACGTGCATTAGTCCCGGCTACACGGCAGTTCTTTCGTGAGAAGGATCGAATCCGCGACTGAACGAAAACCGCCGGTCAGGAATGCGAAACCAAACCAAACCAACTAATTTTGTCGGGGAACATAACCCTCTAGGGCTTTAATCTCCTGTGAATTGGCTATTATTTGAGGTGAGACTGAATTTTGGGTTTACACTTGCCCAGAAGTTAAGATTTAGATATTAAGATAATAAAATAAAATTACAGTGCAATAGCTTTTTAGACAATATTAAATTCATTTTGAAAAATATGCTGAATATATATTATTAATATTAGAATATCACTAGTTGAAGTACTAGTGTTGTTAGAATTAATCCAAAAGAGAAGATGGTTGAAATTCATGAGTTTAGGCTTAGGATATTGCAGCAGTAGTCTATTGGATTCCTGCTTGCTTGTTCAGTCTGGTCGCAATGAGAGCGCGCTCTGTGATTGGTCGATGGTGTGGTGTGTTAATTCTGTATATATAGATGGGTGCGTAGGGGTGAGATTTTGTGAGGAGTGTGCTTGTGTTACCAGTGTTTTTGTAATATAAGTGAAATTAAGGAATTAAAATTTCTCGTGGTCTGTGTAGTTGTGGGTTGTTTCTGAGTGGGGTGTACTTTTCTATTTCTTGAATGGTTTTATTGCTTGAGGTATCAATTTTTTGGAAGAAATTTTCTGATAATTTTTTAATGAAGTTTTTAAGTGTTGGGAGTTTAATTGAGTATCTGATGTCTGTGTTTCTCATGTACCACTGTGCTCTTACTATCATTCTAATGGTGGAATTTTGGGATTTTTCTAATAAATCTAGTGTTGTGTCAGCACAATGCAACCAGACTGGTCTAGCATACGTCAGGATAGGTCTTAGTATCAGGGTGTGAATCCGAAACCTTGACCACTAGGCTACCGCGGCCACCCTTTTATATAAAAGATAGGAGATAGATGAAACTACCTGGGTGCTGTCCTTGACAGCGGGCAATTACAAGTTCGTAATTACAATCAATATTAAATTATATTGCCAATACCCTGCGTAATTATAAATTGCATTCCCAATAACCCACACATTTCTCTAGTACGAAATAGACAAATATTTGTTCTAGAGAATACACGTTTCTCTAGAACAAATATTTTTCGCTACCTATGTCTACCCTGTAAAAGAGTTCGCACACCACAACTAATAATTCACTTCAAAATTTCAAACTAAGGTCAGATGACGTGACCGACACCTCAACTGAAATCCATTCTCCACATCGTGATTAATTGATTGCTTATTAGTGTCATTTTTAGAATTATTAAAATGGACATTGGCGAACGTACCTCAAAATTGTGAGCCTCGATGAAGTGACGGGGATGACGCTCAGCACCCTCTCCAAACTTCCACACCATGCCAAAGGGAGGATTTGGAGCCCCGACAGATTAAACCTGCGTCAGCACCTCTAAAATACGGGCTTTTTATGGAATTTTTTTTTTCGATTTATTGTTTTTGTAACGTCACACCTAAAAGCAACACAAGGTCTATTGGCGAAGTGGCAGCGATAGTCATATGATCATGATCATGGACTTGTGGCCAGCTTTTCATCAAGTCATGGATTCGAGCTTTGGGCCACAAAATACCCACCGTATGGATGGGGCTGATGCACGTTAAACCTGCCAAGGTCTCAAGTTCTTTCACTGGCGTGGTGTGGAACTTTGCAGAGGGAAGTATCAGCTCAGGTGTTGTCCTCGTCCCTTGACCGAGGATCAAAATTACGAGGTCAATCACCAATAACCTTCCAGTTCCTTCTTAGAGCGACATTAATAAGCAAACACAGACACATTACTAAGCAAACACTCTATTAGCGACAGACCTCGTAATTTTGAGCCTCGGTCAAGGGACGAGGTAGAAACTTGAGTTGGCTCTCAACGTTATCAACTTCGTCGCAGTCCCATCATGAGAACTTAGAGTCTCAAAAGATTAACATGCATCATCCCCACTACACGACGAGTAGTAGAATGCGACTGCTTATTAACGTCGCACTGAGAAGCAACACAAGGACTATTGGCAACGGAAATTTTGAATCTTGTTCAAGTGACAAGGATTTCATCTTAACTAGTATCCCCCTTTCCTAACTTCCACACCAAACCAAGGAAAGAACTTGGAACTTCGATCAGATTTAACGTGCAGCATCTCCGTAATACGGCGGATCTTTAGCGACTCGACGGAAGCAACGCCGATCGCGAGTCCGTATTCATGACGGCAAGGCTACCAAGGCTTTTAGTGTAAATGGTATTTAAAGAAATGGATCAAATAAAACATTGCCTGCCATACGCTTCGTACTAAGATCACTGTAACAAAGTTTCTGAACTTCTTCCAATGAAAGATTTCAAAAAAATTATTCTTTCTCTAAAGCTTTCGTAATAAACAAATTAGGCTCATCGAACAAGTTTAGTTGTATAAAAAAATAATTTCCTTATCGCTTAACGGATCAATATCTAAAATTAATATCAATTACTTTCAAACTCTATAGCAATTTGGATATTAGAGCCTATTTCCTTCAAAAAAAAGTGGCAGAAAGCCATCACAGAACAAAATCTAGGCGCAAAATTCGCATTTAAGTAGCTCCGTCACTCTAGAAGATCAAAAGGATATCAAAAATTAAGCTCGAGTAAACGTGACACTCCTTTTGAGAACAAAGAAGAAATTTCGAAACATTTAGCAGCCCAATCTTCCGTGGCCTAAGCGTCTTTGTTACCCTAATAACCTCCTGTATTGTTCACTCTCAGAATTGTATCGATCTCTTGGCTCTCTTCTGTCTCTACGTCTTTTCCCACTCTCGACTGCATTTTAATGTGTTCCAAGATTCACTGTGTGCTGAGCCAATTCTACGCTCCGTAGCGCTTATGAAGGGGTGGGAAGAAAGAAGGTCGACCCCCACTTTGTTTTATTAACTTTCCATATTTGATCGAGTCGATTTGAATCGGATATTTTATTTTTCTCCCTTCTTGATCAAATAAACGCCTACTATACCCCCTCGAATGCAATAGATCGTAACGATTTAAAAGAGTTTTCGTAATTAATCAGAGATGAGACTCTTTTCATGAAGAAAAAGCATTTGATATTATATTTTTGCTTTCATCGGTTACGCTCTAGTATATATATATAAACTATGATAAAAAATACTTCAACTGTTTATTCTTCCAAAATTTAAAATTCGTATAAAACCACTCAAAAAGAAGGGTAGGCAACAACAATTAATTGTTTTTTTACTAACGTTACAC